CGGGAGTGGTTACTTAATTTTTGATGGGGGAACCCCCAGCCCCTTCAAACCCCCGCCCCTTCCCGCCTGGCCCCAGCCGTAACCGAAGGCATAGAAAGCCAGTCCCCAGTCCTCAAAAGAAAACCACCACGGCACGAAGTTTCCATTCCCCTTTTTCCCGCGCCCCCCTCGGGGGTCCGGGAGGGACCCCAGCGGACCCCCCCCCCCCAACGCAACAAGCGGGGGGTTACGCGGAGGGGGGTAAGGGGGGGGTTTTCCCCAGGCCCCCCCGCCCATGGGGGGGGGTCCACAGGGGGGTTTTGGTTTTGGGTTTGGATTTGTTGGGCTTCGGGTTGCTGCGGGTTCTGTTGGGGGGGGGCCGGGGCCGGGGGGGGGGGGGGGGGGGGTACTTCTGCCTTAGCTGTTGGACCATGGACCACGAGAGGACGGAGCACTATATTACTGTTCCCACCTGACTGATCTCACCCATGTCCAATCGCTCCTTCCTAGTTTGCCAAAAGTTGGCTCAACAACGAGTTCCCTATCCTCTGTCTATCCTGTCGATATCACTTCCCGTCTTCTCAGCCCACGAGGGGGGTGCGGGTGAGGGGTGGCTGGTCGGGGGCGATGCGTGGATCCCACAGTAGTGCGGTCGTGTGTCTAAAAATGAATTTCAACGGTAGATGCTGACATACGAACTTGCATGGTCTACCCGCCAAAAGCTTTGCCTGCAACACTTGGTGAGACGCGTAGTCTATAAATATAGTCCCACCGTACGCAACAGCTGCGCCATCTGTGTCAAAAAAGCGCCACACGGCGTCGCCGGTGAGACGCGCTCGCGCGAGAGCGATATTCCGGAGCTTTTTCTCGGAATCGAACCGCAAAAAAACGCAGCGTGACGGAAACCCGTTTCGAAGAAACGGCAAAGGATGGCATACTGCATTCGTCACATAGAACTACCGTAAGAAGCGGAGAGATGAAACCCCCCTCAGACCGGCACTAAATAGACGCTCGAATGCTCCAAAAACAAGTAGGTAGTCTAGATGCAGAGCGAGCCCGATAGTCTACGGAAAGCTCTACAGTACCCGAGATGTTTCCAAATCTCCCCTTTTCGGTGTTCACACAAGTTACTCATGATGCACGTCGGACCCCTCTGCGTTCAGTGCGACTCCGTTTTGTTTGTCAAGGATATCCGTGGGTCCAACGAACCGCACGCGGTAACATCAAAAAGTGACCGCTGTACAAGTACCGTATATGACACAAGATAACACACCCCCTGGACCGATTTTCAAAGCTCGATTACTCCACGACGAAGAGGATGCATAAACGAAACAATACGTTTTCGAACAGCTCTCGACGAGACGGTTCCAACGCCGCCGTTTTCGGCGCTGTGACTCTTCCTGCTGTTGAGAAATTGAGCTTTGAAAATCGGCCAAGGGGGTGTGTTATCTTGTGTCATATACGGTATATCAACAGACCTACTTAATCTATAGGTAGCATAGCCTCACATAAACAACAACGTGATACGACATAGGTATACTGGTGTGCGAATCGAAATTTCTTTGTCATGGGGAGGCGAGATAAATCGATGAATCTGCGCGAAGGATACCGCAATGCTCGGACCAGAAGAATAATCCCTTTACGTGTAATGTACCTTTTACACGGTAGGCAATTTGACTGCTGTGGGTGTTGTAACGTTGCTTGCACTGGAAGGCAATCAAGAGACGTGAAGGACTACTTTCGGTAACACAGACACACAGGCGAGAGCGCCATTGTCATTTCAAGTCGAGAGATGCGTACAGAAGAGAGGGGGGTAGGTGTCTGGGCTACCTGTTCCGACGTCCGTGGTTGGAACACTCCATCTTACTTTTTCCGGTGTGTGTGACAAGGTCACAAAGGCTCGAAATTCCGCAGCCAGTGTATTGCGCCGCATCTTATCATCGCCGCGGCTGCTCTCTACCTATACACTACATACACCGCTGTTGGTTGAGGAACCAGAACGAAGCCGGCGACCAATTCACGCACGCCACAAAACACAAGTTTAACGCGCGCTTGTTCTCACCTCTTCCCAAAGTGGCAGTCTTTGCCATCGTCTCTCTCCAGCACATGTGCGGGTAGCACGTAGTGCGTCTCTCAGCAAAGCAGACAGACACACTGCTCTAGGCAGCGGGCGGGGGGGGGGTACAGTACCTAAAGTATGATTTCGCGTAACCGCATCTGTTCGTTCTTCGTCGGGGATACGGTGCGCAGCATCCACCGCCCGGCCCGGAACCGAGCAGCGAGACTAGAGCAGGAGGGACAGAGAGACTCAACCCGCAGGAAAGCAAGCTCTACCGTAGGTAAGGCAGATATAGCAGTAGTGCTCGGTGGAAGGAAGCAAGGTGGATGTGATTTGGTTTGCCAGACGGGTGCGGCACGCGTTGAGGTGCTGGTCGTTGCGCATATGGTGTGCAGAGAGGCGGCGCGGAGGACCTCGGTATGCGGATTTGATCTCGTTGCAACTAGCTAGCAGCCCTGTGCAACGGAATAATGAACCGGCAAGCTTCAGGGTTTAGGCGCCTAGGGTCAGAGCTGCAAGCGTTACCTCTCGTTGTTATGTCTTTGGAAGCAGGTTGCTGGTTGATGTACCGCTTTCATGTACACAAACGCTATGCTTCTGTATGATGCGTGTGTAGTGTTTCTTGCGCACAATAAGAATTAAGGATTCCCTTCATGGAAGGCCGTGAGAGACAGGTAGACAGACACTCCAGGCTGACGGGCTGAGGCAGGAAACAACACACATGCGCACGCTAGCGCGCGAAAGCTATCGATCTTGGAGCAGCTTATCGGGGCATATGCATAAAATTCTACCAAGCATTCGTCCATACGTGACAAGATGGGAAAAATATCAAAAGATCCATCCGCCGCGTATGACGGTGCGTACCATACCAGAAAGGTGTTGTGAACACTGCTACAGCGCACAGCGCACCCACTTTGCTCAAGTGTTGCGTATCTGAATGTTGTATGAACGTATGTATGCGTATGCATATGCATAGAACAAGGGCATGCCTCCGACAGTAGCGACGGCGGCGAGGTCGATGAAGGCGGGCGCCGCAGTGCCGCCTGAGCGACGGGACGACGGGACCCGGTCCCGACGAAACGCCAGCGCCCAACGTCATCCGACGGCGGCGAATCGGAGTGTGATAGAGAGGGCAATACAGCAGTAGGTGTGTCCCGATAAAGTGCCGGAATGTGCCTAGAGGTTTGACCGGTACTAGACTATACCGGGCACTATTCAGAACAGGGATATATGTTACCCGTAAGGTTGCGAGTCAGCGCACAGGGGTGCGAACGATTTTCAAACCGTAATTTGTCCACAACCAGGAGGTTACCATTCATTGTCGAAAAGGGGCGGTTTTGGAAATATCTCATCGAGAGCTTTCTTTGAGAACGATCAGTTGGCGCTCGCACCCTCCTGGTTCTGGAGAAATTACGCTTTGGAAATCGATCGCACCGCTGTGCGCTGACTCGCAACCTGATGGTACAGTACCGGCCCGGAGATAAGAAACGTCAAAATCAGGTCGGGGCTCAATCCCGTATATTTTGGGTCAAGCCGAACGTCGTCCATTTTGAAATAAATACTTTCGGCGGAGTCGCCCCCCTGCTGACGCTTTCTATCGCATGTTGTAAACGACGTACTTGGTCACCTCTCCCAACGATCGGCCCTGCCACGAACGAAAAAAGAGACAGAAAAAAACAAAAGTGGGTAAAAGCATGGTCCTCGTGGGAGATCTCCGTTCGGGACGTTGGTATCAAGCCTCCCGCGAGGTGACGCAAGGTTGTATTATGACATGCATGCCCGGACGGCATTTCTTATTCCTTTGGACTGTCGCACCTGATTCTCTTATTTCTTATTTTTGTTATTTCTGGCTAAGAATACAACAACACACCAAACATTTACATTCATGCAGCAACTGTAAACAGCCCGCGGAGGCGCGGAGTAGCTAGCGCGGAGGCGGGGGCGGGGGCGCAACAATAATCACTCTTCCCCTATAAAAAAAAAATACTGTTCAGCTGGTGGGAGCACGGAAGGAGTATGATAGCAGCAGGGGGCACACTCCACGCTCGCTCCGCGAAAAAAAAAAACATGCATACGTATGCACAGCAGCAGTGCACAGCAGTTGACAACATAAACAGAAAGGTGCTATGCATACGAAGCAGCGTTCTCTGTACCTCTGCCTGTGTGTTCTGAATTATGTTGTACCCTGTATAGCATTTTGTAGGTAGTAGTTCATGCTGCTAGCTACTGCTGTTGGAGTGGTTGCTAAGCAGAGCTCATCCAGCAGCACCAGAGCTACATTGCACATGTAGCACTACTGCTGCTGCTGCTGCTGCTGCTGCTGCTGCTGCTTTTGTGTGTCACGAGAGAGAGTTATGTAGGTGTGGCTTCCCGACGAATTCTTGCGTGTATTAATTCCTGCCAAATCATTGATAGAGAGATTTCACACAGCAGTTAAACAACATGACAGAACAGCAGACCCACGAGGGCGCTGCACAAGAGGAGCAGTCATGCTTTGTTTTGAAAACTGAACAAGATTCGCCGAAAAGATTTCTACGCAGGCAATCGATGCAGGAAGAAAGATCCGTTCTCTCGTGTGTACCTGCCACACAAACTACACAGTACATGACATGCCTCCCGCAAAATAGGATAGACTGACAGGTATCGCACAGCAGTAACAACAACAGCAGCCCCGGCTAGGCCGCTTCTGGCTACGAGAAATCGACAAAAGTTGAGGATGGATGCGCTGTTCATCGCGTTGAAAAGTATTTCGTGAAGAAAGGATACACGATGATGATCGACGTACTATAGATGATGCGTTTGCATGTCTAGAAACAATGTACTAGCTGGCTACCAAACTATATTTAGATCTCGGCCCCTCCCTGTGTACAGCACGCGTCTCGCGCACCATTGATAGGTAGATCGAACTCACAGTCTACAGCAGTAACAGAAGAACGAACGGCAGGCCTATTATATTGAGGCTACTTTTTCGCTGCAACTTCACAAAATAATAAGAGTCGAGGATGGATATGGATGCGGTGTTCTTGCCGGGAGTCTTGCCGTGAAAACAGAAGAAGATTTCATGGGGAAGAAAGACCCATCCGTCTGGCGTTCTTTGCCAATAATCTTCATCCCGTCGCTGCCGTGGGTCAGTCGGTCGGTCCGTCCGTCGGTTGGCCGGGTTGTGTTTGTGTTTGGTTTTGGGTTGGGTCGGTCGGGGGTTGGGTTGGGTAGGGTGGGTTGGGTCGGTCGGTTGGTCGGTCCGTTCGTCAGGTTATGTGTTGTGGTCGGGTTGGGTTGGGTTGGGGGTAGGGCTGGTTCGGTCGGTCGGTCGGTCGGGTTGGGGTTGGATTGGGTTAAGGGTTG